GAATCTACAAATCATGGGCATGTGACCCAGAATCTAAAGAATATGATATCAAGATACCAAAGAATGGGCCAGGGATTTAGCTCAGTGACACTGTGCTTGCCTTGAAAGTGCAAGGTCCTGAGTTTGATCCCAGGTACAAAAAAAAAAAAAAGGATACCAAAGAAAAACATGATTTTAACATGTTCACGATGGGGACGTGATTTGTCTGTTTCACTGCCAGGTGGCCTGAAAATGAGTGGTATGCACATGACTATTCTGTAAGGGAGCTGGTACCACTGCTGGTAGAAGTAGGACAGCCATATACACTCACTAATGGAGGTTCAAGCCATTGGGAACATTTTAATCCAGCATAGGAGACAACCCCAAGGTTTAGACAACAATCCATTTTCTTTATTGTAGAGGTAGAAAGGATCAAGTGGTGCCCCAGGCAGAGCTTACCTTGTTTCATAGCATGCTTCTCCTGCAGGGCTGGCTGGATTTTCTCCATCTGCTTGGTGAGGAAGTCTATCTTCCTTTTGAAGAAGTCCTTGGCATCCTCAGCTGTCTGTAAGATCAGAGGTGATGAAGAAGTAAGAGGAGACTATGTCCTACACTGTAGATTTAACTCCCCTCCCCTACTCCGAGGGACAACCACATGCTTTCTCCTACTCACCTTCTCCACATAGTAGCCAGTTCCCACATCGATGAGCACGTGCTCTACATCATGTAGCTTCCCAGGGACATACATCTGAGAAGCAAGGATTAAGGGAAAAACTAGCCCAGCATGAGCCATGATTCCGTCAGACAGCCTGACAAACCTACCAGGACCCCCTGTTGCTCAAAGGTGTAAGACATGAGGCCCAAATAATCCAGAGGCCTTAGGACTGTAATTCCAAGTGCTGAGGGACAGAGAAGTTGGTTCCTTGTGCAGAAAATGGTATATGCTGGAACACTCTTCTCATGATCCTATTTCTTATGTCCAAGCAGTTCTTGCAATTCTTCCTAAAAGGCCAGACACAATGTTTCCTACTGCTCTAGACCCGTGTAGATGAAAACCCATCCTCACTTCCCCTAAGCCATGAAGTAGTAATTCTTGCAAAATTTAATGTTTATTTAACCATTTTCCACTACACTGCCATTTATTTCTCTTTAGCTTCTCCGTTTTGTATTGTTCTTGAGGTATTACAGATTGAACCCATAGCCTTTGCACTAAGCTATATTCCCAGCCCTTTTGAGACAAAAACTTTTTTTTTTTTTGACAGGGTCTCACTATGTAGTTGAGACTGACCTGGAACTCACTATGTAGCCCAGGCTGGTCTTGAACTCACAGCGATCCTCCTGCCTCAGCCTCCCAAGTGCTGGGATTACAGGCATGGGCCATCATGCCTGGCATTGAGGCAGTATCTTGCAAAATTGTCCAAGAGGAACTAGAACTTAATATCCTTCTGCCTCAGCCTACCAAAGTACTGGCTATCATGTGCCACTATGCCTGGCTAGCCTCAGTTCTTAGACTACAAATTCCAGATCGTTATTGCCAAGCTCATTCCTTCAAATAAAACATACAACAGATGGACACAATCCAGTTTCTCAGTGACAGTAATTTAGGAATGAACCACAATTAAGCTGAAATTGAGGATTAATAAACACAGCCAACTTCTCCATTTGTATAGCCTGCATTCCTCTATTTGTCTTCTAAGTTACTAGCACGATTTAAACTCTCCAGCTTCATCTCCACACTAGAGTAGTATTTTCAAACAGCAATGAGAAATATCACACTTCAACTCTTCACACTCTTTGGTACTCACAAAGTATTAGCTGGACGTTGGTTCAGTTAGCTGAGCGGGATGAAGTGTATTAAGAGTGTTCTCAAAGGGCCGGGAATTTAGCTCAGTGGTTCTGCCGCCTGGCCTGTCTCGCAAGCACAGACCTGAGTTCGACCCCCAGTACCAAAAAAAAAAAGTATTCTCAAAATGGGGGGGGGGCTCTAGAGTAATCAGTATCAGAGTGGGGAGTGAGGGGGAAAGCTTGGTAGCGGTTCCTGGGGAAAGGATACAGAACTCGTCAGTGGGACGAGTAATTCTTTTCCTGTGAAAGCAATTAACATAAACACCTAGAGAAGGTTGGCAGCTCCCACGCGAAGACATTAAAAGGAGCTCCACCAGGGCACAGCGCCCACAAAGTGACGAGAACGGAAACAGGCGACAGGAGCAGGGGAAGGTCTTGTACATTTCAACTCTCCATAGGCAACATGCAAAGGCTGACGAAGCGGCACACGGTATGTAAGGGACTGCTGTCTCTAAGGAAGACCGGGGTAGGAAGTGGGACGAGAGAAGCCGGCTCGACTACTCCTCCCCAGGCAGCTTCACCCCCTACCGCATACCCTCGTTGCTCTTGTTGAGCACGTTGAGACAGTCCTTGGCTTCCACATACTTGGTCTGTACCACCTTGAGCTGGGCGATAGACGTGGACAAGAACTCCACTTCCTACAAAGGTCGGGAAAGAGAGTCAGAGTAGGAAATGGGGGAGAAAAGAGGCACAGCAGGGCCGGGCCGGGTTCGGGACCGGCAGGGGTCTCGCCGGGCAAAGGAAACCTCCCAAGCTAGGAGGCTAGGGGGCGAGGGGGCTAGCGAGAGTAAGAGGTGAGTAAAGGGCGAGAAAGTTGCCTCTGGTGCCCGCCCCACCTGGTCCAGCTGGTTCTTGAGCATTTCTAATTGTGGCAAATTCAGCTCCGTGATGTTAACTGACTGCGCCATGTTGGGAAGGAGGATCACCGAAGAGGAAGTAGGCTGGGCGATCAACGCTCTAGCCGTCCTCTGCGCATCTCTATGGCTGCGCCAGGGGCCGCGCTGCGCGACACATCTCTATGACCCTGGGAGGGTGGGGCGGAGTGGGACGTAGATTGGAGTAGATAACCATGGAATCACAAAATATCCTAAAGCTAGTGTTATAACGCTAGCAAACATTACTTCCTCCCAGCAGAAATTTAAAAATCTTTAAACCTTGAGATCTCCTACACTTTTTTTTTAGGTTTTTTTTTTTTAATTTTTATTTTTTTGAAACGGTCTTGCTCTGTAATTCAGGCACGCCTTCAACTCACTATATAAACTTGAAGCCATCTTCCTGCCTCAGCCTCCGGAGTGGTGGGATTATAGGTGTGCACCACCATACCTGGCTCAACTACAATATTGTAAAGCAATGTGTGCTACTTCACCTAGGTGGTAATCCCACGGGACAGGGTCTGAGGAGGTTCCCAAAACAGATTGCAAGTTAACACCTGTCCCACCGGTTGAATAGCATTGCAGGCTCATTGACTCGTTACAGAAAAATAATTTTCAGGAGGAATCAGTAAGAGGCTCAGAAGGGTTTATAAGGCAGAAAGTGGAAGTTCCACTCTCAAAGAAATAGTGTGGGTCTTTGAAAAAAACTTCTAGAGGTTTTTTGGTTTTTTTTACGATAGGTAGTTTAAACATTTTTTGGATTGTGTAAACTGATTTTAGGATCCGTTCCTTTCTCAGTTAAGCCAATTCATGGACTTTCAGTATTCCTGAGGTATTCTGAGTGCGATAGGTTGAAGAAAAGGAGCCTAAATTTAACCAAGGGAACACACATATGAATCACTGTGGGTGACTTTGACTGGGTTCTGGAAATTGCAGACTTCTTAAAATCATGATTTTTGGCTGGGCATGGTGGCACATGCCTATAATCCCAGCACTCAGGAGGCTGAGGCAGGAGGATTGCTGTGAGTTCAAGACCAGCCTGGGCTACATAGTGAGTTCCAGGTCAGTCTCAACTATAGTGAGAACCTGTCTCAAAAACCAAAAACCAAAAAAAAAAAAAAAAAAAAAAAAAGCATTATTTTTTTTCATCAGGGATTTAGCTCAGGGGTGCCACTGCCTGCCTTGTAAATGTAAGGTTCCAAGTTCCACCCCAGGTACAAAGGAAAAAAAAAAAAAAAAAAAAAAAAAAAAAGAGCATGATTTTTAAAGTTATTATTTCCATGTTTCCTTTTATTCTATCCTAAGTCCAAGCCTAGTGACCTACAGGCCAGGAGGAGGTCTGTGAAGCTCTTTTACATGACAAGCATGCAGACAGTGCTTTAGGTAGATGAGATGGAAATCAAGCTAAGGAGTCACTACCATCAACCATCCAGCGCTGCACACAATGAACTAGAAACCTGTTATTTTGTGCTAGATGTGGAGAGTACCCAAAAGTGTGAGGGGAGTGCTTCCTAAGAGTTTAACCTTTACTTGGAGACACACACCCAATAACAATCCACAGAATATACTGCTCAAGGATGGGGACCAGCACTGAGGAGCCAGCAGCGACAGTGGGAAGAGACCAGTTGCTTGTAATAGCTTTTGGAGAGAGGCTGAGCAACTGAGGCATGAATACACCCTCAAGGTCCCCTTTCTGGGACCTGTTTCCACTTGTTTTTTTTTTTCCCTCCTGGCGTTGGGGATTGAACCCAGATCTTCATACTAAGCTATAACCCCAGCCCTTTAAAAAAATTTGACAAGGTTTTGTGAAGTTGTAAAATTATCCAGGCTGGGCTCAAATATGCAATCCTCTTGCCTCAGCCTCCCAGAGTGCTGGTATCACAGGCATGCACCACTACACTCAGCTAATTTGAGGATTATGTATTTATTTTGTTTTTTTGAGACAGGGTCTCACTATGTAGTTGAGAATGACCTGGAACTCACTATGTAGCCCAGGCTGGTCTCAAACTCACAGTGATCCTCCTGCCTCAGCCTCCAAGTGCTGGGATTACAGGCGTGCACCACCACGCCCAGCTTAATTTAAGGATCTTGATGGCTCTTTCCTTCAGCTTGGTCTGCTGAGGTCCACCCAGTTCAGCTTTATCCTACAGCTTTCTTTCTTCCCAAGATTCTTAAAGGAATCCTGCAGCTGTTCCTATCAGCTTACAGTACCTCACAGGAGGAAGGGGTAGTTTATCTTTCGATGCTCTCATATACACTACACAAAACAGGATGTAAATGACATATCTTTATTATATTAAGATTAAACTGAAAGGAAATACTTCATATAAAACACAAGGGGAAAATAACTTTAAAATATTTATCCTGAGGGTGAAATCTAAATTTGGGGGTAGAACAGTCACATGGTTTCTACCAGCAGTAAGATAGCTCCGTGTGTTACCGCAGGCAGACAGGCAAGCCGTAGGCTATGGGTGCAGCTCCAATAAGATACTTGAGTCGGGGAGCCTGGCGGGCCTGGCTGACATAGTAGAGAAGAGGGGCCCCTGGGCCTGCTTCGAGCCAGCCCTGCAGAAGAGCCTTTGTGTAGCGGTCAATGTCACGGTCAGTCACGTCCCAGAGATTACCCAGAAACAGGGGGCTGGGAAGAGATGAAATACAGTGAGGGCTCTATAACAGATGGCCCTGGAAGATAGTGGTGGGGAAGAAGAGAGGACTGAACCAACGAGGAACTCCCTCGGCCCACAGTTCCAGGAGGAGGACAGAAGGGGATCAAGGGTTAAAGGGTCCAGGATGGGAGGAAGGTGAGGCGTGAGAGGAAGGAGTCAGGTTCAGAGCTGGGAAAAAACCCAGGAGAGGTGCAGGAGTTTTAATGCCCTAGGACAGGTTTCACCCCTTGAGCCTCACCAGCCAGCCATGATGTACTTGAGCACGATGCCAGCCCCTTCCAGGTTTCCATGCACAGCCAGGGCTGCGCTGCTGCAGCCAAACAACAGGGCTACTGGCCGGCAGCTGAGCCGCAGGACCACCTGCCCATCAAGGAAGCGGGCACCAGCCCCGTGCCCTGCATATCTAAGGCGGAAGGAAGTGAGATAAGCACTGACCAAGCAGAGCCAGGCATCAGCCTGTAGTTCCAGAGGCTCTACCACACCACAGCAACCTTCGGTGACAGCATCCTCAGGGCTGCCCCTCTCCTCACCCCCACAACACACTCACATGTATAAGTCATGTTCTGTCAGGGCTGCCTGCATCTGTTCTGGGCTTGGCACCTCCCCGACCACCCCTCTCCAGCCAACTTCACTGCAGAGAAAAGGCGGGAGTAAGGCCAGGACCTGTACGGCAGGGATCATGTGGCAAAGACTGATGGGGACAGCAGACAAAGATGCCTCCAGTGATTGATTCTGGAGAAAAGCACAGTGCTCTCGGCCCTCTGACCTGCTAAACTTGGCTCGAAATTGCTCCTCTGTGCTTGACAGGTTGTTGTGAGGGTTCAGGACATAGAAGGTGCTCTGCGGATCCACCCCTTGGCTCAGCACTGGTGAGGCCCCAGCCTGAGGGGAGACACTGGTGATTAGGACAGGGCCCCACTGCAGGTCAGACCTTCCACAGCCTCCAAACCTGTTTCCACATCTGACTGTTTCTGAGAATTGCTGCTCTCCTCCCAGGTCTCTGCCTGTTTCTTCAGTTCCCCTCCAATTACCAATCCTCCCTAGACCCGACCCACTGAATCCCACCTCTTTGATGATGGAATAGCTCAGCAGGAAGTGGAAGGAGGGCAGCCGGGTGACAGGCAGTTCTCGAAGACAGGGCATGCTTTCCCACGGCAGCTTCTGTAGGTCCTGAGCAAAACACACTCCAAAGTTACTGTCCTTGGCCAGGGCCTAAAGAGGCCTGGGGGGAACTGGTTCCCACTACCCACTGCCCCCTTACTTACCTTGTCCAGCACCAAGACAAGGTGCTTATTGCTTGGTGCTGTCTGGCCCTGTAGATGCCCGACTGCCTCAGTCAGGAGCTCTTGGGCTCGTTCTGGCTGGGTTGGGCACAGCCCGTAGGCCAGAGCCTGAATGTCCTGGGTTGTGAGGGTACCAGCACCACTGAGCAAGACCTACAAGGGAACAGGGTTAGCAGGCGCCACACCCAGTGGTTTCCCCTTCCTTGCAGCCTGGACTCACTTTCAGCAGAGTGGGGTCAGGATACTGCCAGCCACAGTCCTGCAGCAACTCTTGCAGGCGGGAGGCCTCCTGTGCAGGGCCAGGCTCCTCACTGGAGGGCAGCAGCAGCCCCCGCCAGCAGCTCAATGCATGCTTCTCCAGGGAAATGATGAGGTCCTGGGAGCGGAAAAGTCAGAGAGGAAGCTGGAAGTCACACTTCTTTGCCCACGCGCACCAATGTTTTCGAGATGAGGAAAGTGGCTTCCAATGTATATATGTGCCCTACAGATCTTTCTGCCACTCATATGAGCCAAAGTCTGGACATTTTTTCATTTCCTGAAACTTTGGGAGTAAAAACTATTTATTATATATTGATGCGTTGTGATAAATATGAATAGGTGGGCAATGAAAGCTACAGCCAGGAAGCTGATATTTGGGCTTAAATTTATTTATTTAGAGACAGGGTCTCACTATGTAGTTGAGACTTGACCTGGAACTTACTAGGCAGCCCAGGCTGGTATTGAACTCACAGAGATCCTCCTGCCTCAGCCTCCCGAGTGCTGGGATTACAGGCCTGAGCCACCACGCCCGGGTTGGGTTTAAATATTTTTATCTTTTTAAAAATTTGAGCCAGGCATGGTGGTGCATGCCTGTAATCCCAGACTAAGGCAGGAGAATCGCCACAAGTTCAAGGCCAGCCAGGGTTACACAGTGAGTTCAGGGCCAGCCTGAACTATAAAGCGAGACCTTGTCTCAAAAAACCAAAAACTTGGACCAGGTATTTAGCTCAGTGTTCTACCACCTGCCTCACAAGCACAAGGTCCTGAGTTCGATCCCCAATACCAAAAAAACAAAAAAGCAAAATAAAACAAAACAAAACAAAACAAAAAACCAAAAAAAACTAACTTGAAACAGGGTCTGGCTAAGTTGCCAAGGTTGCATCAAACTCCCAATCCTCTTGCCTTAGCCTCCCAGGCATACACCATATTTGGCTCTTCTGTGTCTCTTTGAACATTCCATTGCCACACCCCTTTTAAGTCTGATACTCTTATTATTTAAAAATCTTCCTTAAGTGAATTTTCTTTAAGGCCTAAATTTCCACAAAGGACTTGAAGTAGCTGACCGTTGACCTGAGCCCTCTGCTGGGGAAGACACTGGCACCCAGGTCACTCCTGGGGCAGCCCCGAGTAACCCCCCAGGAGCACACACCTCCATCCTGTGGTCCAGGGCCAGGCGGCCCGTCCACCAGGCTCGCTTGTCAGTACAGCTGCTGTTCTCTTTCTGGTCCTTCTGGATGGCGTCAAATTCTCTCAGGGCTGAACTCAGAGGAAGCTGTGGGTGATGGGGTTGTGAGTGCTTGGCTTACCCAGAGATCACCACTGCTCCATCCCGCAGCCACGGGACGTGAGCAGCTTGATCAAAAGGCCACTATGGCTTAACATTGCTCCTTGGTCCCGGAGCCCTACCTTGCTCTGGGTGGTGGGAATCTGCACAGTGACTGGGGGGTTGTTCCTTTCCAGTCGCGTCAGCAGCAGGGTGTTGCCCACAGTTCCAGGCTGGAGGGCAGCCAGGGCCAACACACAGACAGTCACCCCTGACACAGAGGACACACTCAGAATCATGTTAACTGCTGTGAGGAATTCCCATCTCTGTCCTGTGCGTGCAGTCCCTATCCATCAGTCAAGACAGCTCCAGCTGGAGTTTAAGGAGCCCTCTGCTGCCCTTCTGGCTCCCTGAGGACAGGAAGTTCCTACTTCCTTGTGTCCCTCACAGCAGTTAACAAGGGCCCCGCACAGAGTGAGGTACTCGGATCACCTATCAGCGGGTCTCAAGTTAGTGTAGGAAGACAGCAGACAACCTGAAGAAAGCCTCAATTTGCTGGTAACCCAACTTTGAGGGTAAGCATAGACTTCCTGGCTCGGCATACATCTGTCTAGTGTGAGAAACATGGCTAACAGAGGCAGAGGTACACAAACAACCAGTGCCTCAACTCTACCCTACTAACTCAGCAGGAAGATGTGAACGAGACAGAAGAGCCAGCCAGAAGCTGCCCTCATACCACTGGGGAGCAGAGCCAGGTCCTCCTGGAAACGTTGTTTCTCGGGCTGGGGGAAGGGGCCAGATCCCAACGTCCTGAAGGAAAAGAGTCGCTGGATGCGGGCCGCAGGGACATCACCAGGCGCATCCTGGAGGCTCAACCCCTGTAGCTGGTCTGCCAGTTTGAGTGATCCTTGATGCTTCTGGGCCTTGCTGGAGGCAACACAAACAGGGATGAGTCCCTTTCTCCAAAGTTGGGACCCTCCCCATAGTGTGGCTGGCTCAAGGCCCAGGAATGGTGAGTGCTCACCTGAGCTGTCTGTGGACGTGGGTGAGCAGCTGGTGGCGACAAGTAATGGACACAGACTCAGCAACGAGGAAGGCAGTGGCATAGGGATCAAGGTGGCCCAGGCACAAGGCCAGGAGGCGGCAGAGGTGGGCATAGAGCCCACTAGGAGGGCAGTGACTAACCCCGCGGAAAGCAATGCTCAGGGAGTCACACAGGGAATCCACGGTAGAAGAACCTAGAGGAAAGTCAAGATACTTGCTAAAGATCAGTCTCCAACTTCTTAGCTGACAGAAACTTCTAAGGAGTGTTTATCTCATCTCTCCACGAAAAAGAGCAGCTACGCTTTATGAAGGAGTACTTAATAGCAGAGTGCTATGCAACTACAGGTATCACCTCACTCCAGCCTCCCAAAACCTTTTTTAATTTTGGGTTTATTATTATTATTATTATTTTTCCTGGTACCAGGGATCGAACTCAGGACCTTATGCTTGCAAGGCAAGCAGCAGCAGCACTGAGCTAAATCCCCAGCTGCAATTATTGTTTTTTTTTGATACAGAGTCTCACTACATAGTTTAGGCTGGCCTCAACTCACAGTGATCCTACCAGCCTCAGCTGGCATTATAGGCATACAAGGTCAAGTGTGGCTTTGAGACAGGCTCTTACTGTGTAGTTCAGATTGGTCTAGAACCCACTATGCAGCCTAGGTTGGCCTCAACCCACGGCGATCCTTCTGCCCCAGCCTCCTGAGTGCTGGGATTACAGATATATACCACCATACCTGGCTATTTTTGGTTTTTTAAAACAGGATTTTTTTTTTTTGAGACAAGATTTCACTATGCAGTTCAGGCTGGCTTTGAATTCAGCCTGAACTAAACTATGTAACCAGGCTGTCCTCAAACTCAAGGCAATCCTCCTGCCTCAGCCTCCTGCATGCTGAAATCACAAACCCCATTCAACAGTGAAGGAAATAAGCTCAGAGGGGTTAAGTTACTGCACAGAGTGCTAAGATTCAACCAGGTTCCACACTTCCAGATTACTCGATCTAGGTAGAGACACAATGCCAGAACCATAGACAGTTTGGAAAGACCCAAGTGACTGGACTTCAGCGGCACACTCACCAATGGCTAGGGACACTGTGGGGGGCTGGAGCCAAGGACTGTGGTCCCTGTTGCTCTCACTGCCTGAACCCAGGAAAGGCAGCTCTTCCTTGCTGGAATCCCGTCTCAGCACCTCACATTCTCCTATGGGGGGATCAGCACCTGCAGCTGGTGCCTTCCCACCTGGGGAGAGAATATGACTTCCTTATGGAGTCCCCTCCTCCTGTCACCCACTCTGTTCCCTTCTACATGCCAGTTCCATACAGCCAGAAACAGCTCTTCCTGGACTCCCTTGGCACCAATTATCATGGCCCCCCACCCCACTTTCTGCCAGTCACCCATGTCACCATACCTGAGGCTGAATCTTTCCCATCAGAGCCCCTGAGGGTCTCAAAGCTCATTTCCATCCAGTTGTTAGTCAGTTCCTCCTCAGAGATGGTCCTCATGATCTCAGGGCCTAGCTTGGCCTGGCCACAAAGGGCTGTCTGGGAACCCTGCTCTTCATAATGTCTTGATGCCACCTTCTTGGTTCTCCGACTCCTACCACTCACAGGGCCACTACCAGGGGCAGCCACTGCATCTGTCTTCAAGCTTAAGCCTTTGCTAGGCCGGCCTCGGCCTCGGGAAGCAGTGCCCCGTCTCTTAGGTTCCTCCACAAGCAGTACCTCAGTGGAGACAGGGTCTTCCAAGTCACTGTCATCACTGAAGTTCACCTGGGATTAGAGGAAAAGGAGGACCAGAGGGCTTTCAGACACCACCTTCTGACAGTAGGTGGTGCTACAGAGGCAACCACAGGCACCGTCATGGGGGCCTCTGAAGGCTTAGAAATTAACTTCCCCATTATACTAGCTACTCTTCTTTTTTCCCCCGCCTTTTCTTGAGAGGGTCTCACTACGAAGTTTAGGCTGGCCTTGAGCTCCCAGTGCGCCTCCTGCTTCAGCCATAAATGCTTGCTGGGATTACAGGTGTGCACCACTTCCCCTGACAACACGGCCTACTCAATTCCAGCAGTGGTTCCAATGTGAAAGGAGAAAGAAAAAAAAGATAGGAAGGACAAAAAGGAAAAAAAACACAGAGTTAAAGAAGATGTAGGGATCCTGCCAACAGCAAGTCAAGGTTCTGCTCAGCCCTGGGAGTTATCCCACAGGAACACTGCTCTGAAGAATGCTGTACTTCACCCCCAGCCCCAAGACCAACACTACCTGGCCACAGTCCCATCTCACCTTAAGGCGTGTCTGGACCCTCTGCCGAACTCTGGGGGCCTGGGGAACCTCGGGCTTGCTCTTCATAGGGTAGACTTCTTCAAACACAGTGAAGGGGACACGAGGGCCAGCTGGCCTGACCCGGCCTGTGGGCTTAGGTGTACAGGGTGGTCCTCCACCTTCTGGGCCTCTGTGAGAGGTATGGAGGAGGGGAGCAGAGGCTACCTGCTGACGTCCTCGCCCACATCGTTTTTGGCCCTGAGTCTTGGAGGGCTCAGAGCCTGGGGGGCTTTTGATTAATGATGGCTGCCAGCCCCAGGAGCTTGCAAAAAGTTGGGTAGTGCAGCAGCTGAGGCCAGCCAGCTTTGTGAGGGCCTGAATTAAGAGCAGGCTGGCTCGCCAGGGCTCCAGCTGGTGGATCCGTGCTGCCATGAACTTCAGCCCTGACTCCAGGATCTTCCCCAGGCTCTTGTTTGATGGCTGATTCAGGCCCTCCAGTGCCAGCTGTGTGTACACCTGAGCCAGGAGCTCATCCAGAAGGCTCGGGACAGGGGAGGTGGGTGCTTTGTGACTCAGGGAAGCCTGGAGAGTTTGGGTGAGGCGCTTGGTAGCCGCAGGGCAACCCTTCAGAACGACCTGCAGCAGCTCTAGACCCTGGGCCTGATGGCCTGTGGCCAGCCTAAGCCCTGCTGTGACCAACACCCAGCGCAGACAGATTGCAGAAAGGACAGGGCTGGCACAGAGCGAGCAGTCACACATGGGCGAGTGAGACAGGAAGCCGGGGTGGGGCAGAGGCTTAGTCTTCAGGACTGGGGAGGAGTTTGTCGAAGTTGCGATGGGGCCAGGCTCCTTGGCCACAGTGGCCACCAGCTCCAGAGCAGGGCCTCTTAGGAAAGACTCCTCCTCCAGGAGCTGTGGGGGCCGGGGGACCTGGGCCTGCTGCTTTCCCTTCTGCAGTTGGATCTTCTTCACAGCATCTGGGTGTGGGGCCACCCTCCCAAACTCTAGGGAGAGAGAATGGGGATTACAAAAACCTTGGTGTCCAGTACTTCCTGAGCTATCTTAGGTCCCAACTCCCTAATATATGTGCTATTTAGTCATTGCATAAGTCATGTTACTGCAGCTTATTAGCTTTTAGAGAAATTCCCTAATGTTTTCCTCCCATCCAACAAGGGGTCAACAGCAAAAAGCCCCAACCTACTGCTCAGAGGACCATGGCTCGAAAGCAAGCTGCCTCCTGCTCCAAACTGGCCCAAAACATTGAATTTCTGAATTTTTTCATTAAAAAAAAAATCTAGGTAACCGGGCATGGTGGCACACGCCTGTAATCCCAGCACTCGGAAGGCTGAAGCAGGAGGATTGCTGCGAGTTTGAGACCAGGCTGGGCTACACAGTGAGTTCCAGAGCAATCTGAACTACATAGTGAGACCCTGTCTCAAA